AGAATATTCTATAGCTGATCTGCTAATGTAACATGTGTGCTTATCCAAATACTTTGTTTTATAACATAATATATAATTGAATATTATTTTGTGCATTTACTTTATTATAATATTATACCACAATTCTTTATTTATCATGAGTTAAGAAACGATTGGTTTTATTTAGGTTTTAAAATATTTGATAGTAATGTTATTTTAAACATACTAAATTCAACATTAACTATTCGTTAGAACTAATTGTATACTCATAATATTATGGCACGTAGGTATAAAGAATATAATTTATTATGCATACGCTAACTTCTTTTGAGTAATACCATAATTGTGTAAAGTATAATACGCAGTTTATACAAACATACTTTTATAGTCGTGTATTAATATTTTGTAGCTTAATGTCTACATTTTTTATATTATGGGTATGTTAAATCTAATGTTTAGTAATATTTAACTTTGCAGAAGCAAAAGGTACTACATAATAATAACAAATATTTAGAACCAAACATGTAAAAGAACACATACCTATGTTAAATACTTTGTTTCCATTTCTTTCGTTAGTTTAATATTCAAATTACAATTTAATGTTAACTTATCTTAGAATTAGATATTCAAATGTTATACTGCAATGTCTTGTATACCTACAATACGCATTATAATATATAGGCTTAAAGCTAAGCGTTTATAACGTTTCTGTTTTCTAAAATAGTGTTTTAAAATAAATTATAAAATGTATCTAACCTATTGAAATGAATATCATTAAATGCCATTTCAATAAGGCATTTAAAAAGTTAAATAATATTATATTTAGTTTGATTTTTGATTTAAAAATATTACGAGTTTATAATATTACTTCGTAATTATTGTTTTATGCATCTACTTTTTAAAGATAACAATACACAATAGATAGTTTGGAATTTAAAAATTAAACAAACAAAACCTGCACGCTAGAATCTATAATATGACTACCAGCTGCAAGAGTATAGTATAATAGTATTTAGTAGTTGGTATTATATAAAACAGAATAACAGATAAAAAAAATCATGTATTTTTTCTATTAATTATAGGATAATAACTATATAGGTACCTACCTACATTATCATATCAATAGGCATAATAAATAAGTCGTATGCATATTCACAATTTTGACAAACACATAAGTGCATAACACGAATTACTCATTGAATACTAAATAAACAAATATTTTCCCGACCAACATACAGAGTGATCCGCCAAGCATACTCACACACATTTTTTCCTTTAATAATGAATTTATAATTTAATCAAATTTTGATTTTTGGAACTCTTAAATAATTTACTCAAAGACCATATTTTCAAACTATTGAATTTTTTCGTACTACTTAAGGAGTGCCTGTAGTGATACAAACTTTTGTTTTTCAAATGAGCCCAGCCTTTTTACTGTAATTTAATTAGTGGATAATTTCTTTGAACTTTTTGATGTGCCTAATTCAAAATTCGAATGAGTAGTTTCATAGTTATTAAAATATTTGTACCAAGGATAGTACCTAGTCCATAAAAATGGTTTTACTAAAATATAAAATAGGCGTAAAATTGGATTTAGTATTTACCTATAATACTTGGAAAATTTTTACAAATTATTTATATTAATGAGTAATGAATAAAGTTTTCAAAACACCATAGCCTTCATATCTTATAAGCCCATTACCATGGATATTTCATCCTCAGAACAGTTAGAACATAAAGTTAAATTTCTCAAACAACAAGTGCGAATTTTAATTTTGAAACGTCAACATTTTCAGAAAAATGATCTATTGTATATGATTCACAGTAGTCAAAAGTGATCATATTTGAAAAGGGGAAGTTCGTATCTCCACAGCACACACCTTAAGTAGTATAAGACAATCTCAACATTTTTTTTAAATGGTCTTACAGTATATAAATATCAGATTTTGAATAACTCCATTATCGAAAAAAAGGGGATGAGCATGCTTGGTGAATATTTCTGTATACCTATATATATTATGTCGTTATATTGAGTCTTACCTATATAATAATTTACTATTTCCAGAATATAATTGTGTTTGATAGTTTTGGACACCATGATGCCATTTAATGAATGATGTATGTAGAATAAATTATTTGATTGCACGAAACTGTTTTATTAATTTTTTTTTCAATTTCCTTAACTGTATAGTATTCAAGATTCGTAGATAGGTTTGGATCAGATGCGTCAAACAATATATTGTTCAATATTCTAGAGGGTTAAATTTTTTTAATTCAATTTTGGACTCTTGTTTTTATAACAAATTTCTAGTTTATTTGTTTTATTATTGTAATTTTTAGTCGAAGTAATACTTAAAATGATTCGAGAAGCTAAACTTTAATTCGATTATTTTTTTTCTATGTCATAAGTTTTAGTGGGCATCTATACGGAGAACTTTTACTCACCAAATACATATATGAAATTAAAGGTATTTACCTATTTTCGACAAAATCAAAATGTTGGAAAATATTTATAGCTGCTAACAATACATTTTCATTGTAAAAAATTATCACTTTCATTTGCGATTTTACAAAAAAAAAATAGTACCTATACGGCTTATACAACCAACAAAAATAAATATTTTTAGGAAAATTGTTTAGGTATGGCAGATGCTACGAAACTGTAAAATTGTTATTTATTTTATAAGAGTTAAAACCATTTGCAATTATGTAAATGGAAATTCAATATTGTCATTATGTCTACATTTTAATTTGTGAATAATAATAACATGAACTTTCAAAAGTCATCATTATATTTTTATTCGTTACTTTCTTGTTGCATGAGAAGAGAGTTTAGGTCGCCGCCCAGTAGCGTTCGCTCGGTGGCCGTATAATAAATCTTTATAAATTATAAATTGATAAACCACATACCGGTATAGTATACTATTATACTAATCATCAATGATGATTAAAAATTATTCATAAACATTATTAAAATAAAAAAACAAAAGTCTTAAATTTATTGTACTTTTAGCTTTTACCTATTTATAATATCACCTAGTTGGCATGGACTTATATCTAGGTTCATAAAAAAAGAAAATCTGTAAAAATATTTTTTCTATTGATGTAAAATATTGATGATATTTTAAAAGAGAACTGAAACAATCAGTCATATTAATTGATTTATTTCACAGAATAAATTTATTTAGATTGCAGTTACTAATAATTATTATATATTAAGGTACCATAAATCATAATACAATAATCTTCTAGTGTTTTTAAGAAAACATGATTGGTTGTAATATTTTTTAATCGTTTCTCGTTAGGAAAATATCCTCTATTCGCACTAATACGGGATTAAAATATTTTTAATTTTTATAAATTACTATTTGAGTCGTTTAATTAATTAATTTAACAGGAATAATCGTCAATTATTTTATATCATCAAGTACCTACATATTATACTCTTATACAATACGATTTCTTTATACAGAAATTTCTATTTATAGTCGAAATTCAATAAGCTTGATTAAGGTTTGTTTATAAGAATATTATTTCAGGAGGGGTGGGCGAACAAAGTTTTTAAGTTCGCAATCGATTCAGGATATTCTATAAATTTGTAGGTACTTATTACTATATATACATCATAATATTAAACTAAGATTTTCTTAATATGCATTCATAAAGTATAAAATAAATGATTTATAATATTGATATTTAATATAGGCATTGGTTTTTATGGTTTTAGGTATTGTATTAATTAATTAAATAAAGTATACAAAATAAACATATTATGGTAGCATGGTTATATTATATAGATATAAATATGGACAGCGCGTATACAAGACACAAGAATTACCTAATTTATACCATAGGTAGTTTTAATAAGTTGTATGTTTTTACAAAGTGTATGTATTTTAATAATAATGAACATCCTCATTATAACCACAGTTTTATTTTTATAATAATTTTTCAAAACTTGTATTTACTATTTGTACGTGCCTTAAATATAGTATACATTTTCCTAAATTGAAAACAAAATTAATCTCTTTTAAATTCTTATGATATTTATCATGCCACAAGTATATCATTATATTATTTGAATAGAAAAAATAATTTAACCAGCTATATATTATGCAGCCAACTCATAACGTATGGTATTGTCAATACTATCATTGAGTATACATTGTAAAATAATTGTACAAATACATACTTACATATTAAGTATCATATAAAATATTTTACTATCTATAATAAGTATAATAACAAAATATTTAAAAAAAACCAAAGTACTTAAATGAATAAAAATATTGAAAAAATAACTAACATGCAAAGTGTCTACAAAATTACGATATTTTGGATTATAAATGTTTACGCAATATTTTACAAATAGGTAGGTACCTATATCGTTTATGTGTTATGGTAATAAAATAAAGTTTATACAATAAAATTGTATTTGCAAGCAATTAAAAGATTTAATATACGTTTGCGTTTTAATTAGGCACTGCAGCATATTATATGGATACAAGCTTCACGCAGAACAGGCACGTCATATATTATATTCTATTAAATAATTAATTAGGTATTTATGAGTTTATGTTTAATGATACTGCAGTTGCAGTAACGTACATGCAAAAAATACATATTGTACGGTACGAGATGATTGCAGTAGTTGCCAATAGGCGATATAGGTATTATAGTCGAAAATAATACATATTATGGGCAAAGTTCTACAAAGCTGAAAGAGATAATGTTTGCTACTTTGCTATTAAAAGGTAAACATAATTAAAAAAAAAAAATTTTATTTCCCCTAAAATAATTCAACTAAATGCAAAGGGATTATAATGATTAACAATATATCGATGGATAAACCTATACAGTATTACATTAGATGATGGAGATTCGGAGAAACTGTATTAAACCCCTCAGTTACACAACAGTACGACACTACCGGAAACGATGCGTCACAAGACAATCGCACGTTTATGAGAACATGTATAATCGTATACTACAATAAAATCAAACATCTAAAAACCACTTACCTCGGCTAGACTTGGATCGGTGTTGCGTGTGTGGGTGTGTAGCTGTAATCGCTTACAGACGAAAACGAGTGTCGTTATTTTGGAAAACCGAAACCGCTTTGCTCGTAGTTTCGGTAGCGTTATCACAATGCTAACAGACATCCGACCGGTAGACGCGAAGACGTACTACGCGTCCCAACGAACAACATTGATAATACGATTATTATTATTATTAATGCACTTGAGTTCAGAGGTTTTTGAGATTGAAAATTCGGTAACTCGATTGTAAGTAATATCCGACGTCCCGTATATATTATAACTGTCGTTATTATCTGCTTAATCCAGCAAAAATATCGTACAGTTATTGTACGAAAAAACGAAATTCATAAAACGGTGAGCGTGGGAAAAAAACACAAAAAACCACTACCACTGCGAATTATACTATTCCCGTGAAAAATATAATCTCGCACGTTTGCGAGACCGACATCGGTCTGACCGTCACTGAAATATAAACCTAACACCGGTGAGTTTGACGCCGGACTACCAACGTGGTCGTGACTCGCGGTATACTCGCGGCGCAGACGCCCCGCTGCCGCCTGCCACCGCTGACGGAAATGCCGCGGTTGACGACGGCGCGATAACGCGGTAATGGTTTATTTAATATTATGTAGGTACGGTGTAATAGTAGATCGCGGCGTCAATATTCGTCACAATAACAATATATAATTATAATCGTAATAATTGTTATAAGATCTGTTGACGACGCCGTTATTATCACCATCGTTATTTCGTGTTGCGTATAATTTACTCATAATATTATGTTGGGTATCCTGCTACCGTTTTTCGAGACGACCGCGGTAGCGGTATAGAAGGTATATTGTTATTTGTTGTGCACTTATTTTTTGTAAGGGTATTATAATTAACGTATTTCTACATACACCTACAGTACGCAGGTTCGACAACTGAGTGATCATCTGAGTGAGTGTATGACGACGATTGTGATTATGATTTATGACAGTGACAGGCGTGTTCCTCTGCTGCCTTTGACTAGATTTGAATTTTATGGAATGCCCATTGCTGTGAGGGACGAATCATTAGAAACTGCAAATTTCTTGTTTGTCGTTGATGTATAGCCATAATAGGAATACCCGCGACATCATAAATGCTTCAATATCGTGTATGGTATACATAATAATATTATTGTGTGCTTATTATAGTCTATATAGATCTAACAGATAATTTAAATCTATTATTATCTTTATAGGTTTTGACTTTTTGTGGCTTTGCGTACATCCGCTGCTGCTTTTAACCTCTATTTTCAAACAGACGAGTTCAAGTGTATTTAACGCCTATACCTATTATGGGATCCCCACTTCAACTAAAATCGTTAAATAGATTTTGGTAACCACTCACTTTCTTTCAGCCTAAAGATAATTAATATTATAATATTGAATAATTGTTTGTTTACTCTGACAGTTCTTGGTAGATTTTATTCGTAATGCTATTTAGTGAATATACACATTTATTATTATCACGTTATTACACAGTTTAAATGGCAATTTATATATTTAAACTTGTAGAATGTGTAATGTAAGGTTCAGGATTTTTCCTATTTTGGACAAAAAACAGGCTCGTTTGTGCAATGGAAACATTCAGTTTAGGTATATAATACGCAATAGTTATATTGTAAATCTATAGGCTATACCCTATACCCTATAGGTATTTATATATCATATATATTATACTGAGGTAGGTATATATAATTTGCACTAATACTTCGGTAATATACATATTGTACACATTATTATTAAATCATTATCAATTAGGTATTGTGCCAGCGGCCCGGTGTGTATTATAGCATTGTATACAGGCATAAGTGATTAACATTCGTTGTTTTTATAGTTTATGACTGGATATCTGATATCTTATAACTTCGTATATTTTTTCTAAACAGCTAATGTTGAATAGACATAATATAAGTATTTGTAGAAAACGTTGTTTTATTTTTATACATTGTCACGTTTTATCCGATTCTGGAGCTAAATGAATACTTTTTTCTACGAAACGTATGAACGGTTATTTTTTTAAGGTCGTTCACAATCAAACAATTTTCAACATTTGTATTAATTTTTAAATACTACTAATTTAATATTAATATTAAAGTGTACGAGATTAAGACGATAACCAAGCCACCAAATATATATATTTTATAAACTATTATAATATTACGTAATATTATGTGTATACTATATACGTACTATACTATTATATGTTATATAATATAATATATACTTTACCCATCCCCTGCCAATAAACTTAATAACAACTGTTTAAACTTTAAACTATTGGTTGAAATAAATTTATATTTCAATTTAAATAATTCACATCAGTTATATTTCCATAAATTGGCAATTTCAGATTCGTAAGAAAATCGAAAGCAATAATGTTCATATTTCTATTTTCGGTTTAGGTAAACAAACAATATTTAACACTGATAAATGTTACACTTTAATGATTGTATAGAGTAATAAGCCGTAGATGTAGAAGAAAGTAGTACCTTTTGATTAAAATTGTTGCTAACTTTATTCATCCGAAGCTAAGTGTAACGTAATTCCCATTTATGTTTTTTATCCCCCTTTGTTCTACATATATCTGTATAAAGTATAGACTTCACTTTATACATTCTTATTAAAGTAATAAAAAATAAGTAGGTTGTATAATTTGTAAATTTTAAAGTAAATTAATATATACTTAAATTCACTCATATCAGTTTTAACTGTTTTAAGTCTTAATAATTAGTAAAAGTTTAAATAAAAATAATAATAAATAAATCAGTTCAATAGTTATATAATAACGAGTAAGATTGTAGTAATGTATATTATTTAACCCATAAAAAAGTCTATACATATATTATTTTATATTATTGCAACTTGAAGAAAATAAAATAAATGTCATTTTGTCCTTGCTCATCATGATAACCGACCTCGCAGCTCGATCTTATACTTTTAAATTGACTTATATTAGTGAATAATATTGTCAGCACTCGATGTAAAACCTTGCCTACTTTGTCCACGAACTTGATTAGTTTTTTATTGTTACATTAGTAAAAATAATAATTATTATAAAACCATTAATATTATGATATAATTAAAATTATGCAAATCCATAACAAGTATACCCACATATATATTTATGATAAGTTTATTAATTCAAATGTATCTTAAACATTTATAAATTTGATACGATAATTGGTAGGTAGATTTTGAATAATAGTGAGATTACCGTTGCAAAAGTTTTAAAAATATTTAATTAGAATAGGTAAGTACCACTTTAAGTACATACAGATAATTGTTTTTGTTGAATTTTATTTATATTATTGCCAATCTAAGTATATACATTTATATATTTTAATACTTATGATGTCGATATGATAAAATATGTAACTTATACATTTCTCTCAAGACCAAGGACAAGAAAAATAAATATTTTAATATTCACGAGAAGTGAATTCTGAGACTGATTATGCTTAATATTTATTAGTTTCAACAGAATAGTATATTTCATTTATTACTGACGTGTTTTTGACATGTTATTTTGGGATACAGAACATCACTAACATATTAAATACGTACATATTATCTGATCGTAAATGAAACGAATATAGCTATAAGCTATACGATATTCAGCATCATTAAAATATACTAATCTATGGCTTTTCTTATAGTTATACAGATTGTATAACTTTAGCTTTAATTTTTAAATATTTAGGAGTTATTTTGCAAATTCAACTGTTAGAATCAATTAGGTTTGTGAATTAATTCCATAACTATTAAGAAAACACCAATGATGAATATTGCAAATACTTTTGCCTTAATGTATGTAAAATAGAGTAACGTGATCCCTAATTATTTAGTGTTTCAAATATTGATACGCTCTATTACCATTTAAAAAGATAAATATTTTTAATACAAGGTTAATATCATGGTCATATTTTAAATCTCATTTTTCTAAAAATGTTGAATAAAATATTAATTATAAAGCAAAGAAATCATAATATTAAATGTTGTAAAAATGTTTAAAATGATGTTGATAAATAAAACTACAAATTTGTATTTTTCAATAATTTATTCAAATGCAATCATTTTTGGTAAGTTATAAACAATTATTTTAGTTGTATAAGAATAAAAATGCAATAGCATTTACAGAAAAAGTTTTACCATGGTTAGATTTTGTACTTTTTAGCTATGAATATTTAATTAAGCTAGATGATATCTGATAAACATTTTATGAATCTGCCCCAATATGCCACGTAAAATCTAGTACAATAATATTACATACCTTAATAGTTAATACTATAATATTATTGTAACAATAAATACTATTTATACGATGAAAGTAAAATATGATTTTATATTTATACCGTGGTATAGTAGTTTGAATCATGGAAAAAAATAGGGAAAAAAGACAACCGTTCGTACAATAGAATTTATGTGTACATCGACAATCGTCATTGAGTAGGCAACCTGTAATGGGTGTGTTAAATTTGAATTCAATGATAAATAATTATACACGAAGAAAAAATATTTCGAGCAAAAACAGTTCAATTTTTTCTACGATAAACCTCAATCAAAGTTGATGATAAAAGCATTTAGTCTACAAAAAAAGTGTCTTCAGACACAAAAAGTAAATAAATAAAAACACACTCATCATTATAACATCAACACTTTCATCACTACTCTCAGATTCTAAAATTAACTAAAATTGACTACAGTCAACACCTTATTGTATTAAATATTTAAATTTGTATTGTATTGATTTTTATTATTACATTATTCCAGTAAGATGATACTCCCGGTAATGTTTTAATGTTATTTTTCAACACAGTAATGTACCAATATTGCCTACCTGTTACGCCGTTTAAAAGAAAATTTGGTCGTAATCAACTGTGGTATTCATTCAATCGTACCAACACAGAAAAGTGCAGGTTTATTAGAATTATAAGTATAAAATCAATACAATTCTATTAAATATAATAATTAATGATTGTGGTTCAATAATAGTTTTACAGTAACAATTTCCCAAAAACATAAATTTCATCAATATTAAGCATTTAATAAATTATTTATTATTAATGATTTTAATACAATGAGATCTTTTATGGTATAATGTAATAATTTACATGGTAGAATTAGTTAATAGTTAATAATAACAATCATAAAATATAATATTCTTGTCAAAAACTGTAGTTGTAATACTTTTATTTGTAAAATAAAATGAAACAAAATAACAATCAATACAACAATACAATAGCATTTTGCTGCCTAAAGCATTTATGAAGCACCTGTTTAAGATTTAGTTACTCATGTACACACGTATTACACGTCGATTTTCAAACAAATGTATCCCTCGACTGTTATTATATCTTATATTTAATAACACAGGACAAGTGTTCATTATTTGTTAATGGTTTTGAACAAAATATAAGTACAATATAATTTAACAATTGGTGCATAGAGGGAACAATACAACTACGCTTTGCATTATGGCATTATGGATCCATTATGAATTTTGAAGTCTGAATAGAAAAAAGTATAAAAATTCCTGAAAATTAAAATTTTTACATTAGCATAGATTTTTAAAATGTCCCAAAATGTATTTCCACACACCTTCCCCACAAAAAAAATTGTGAAAAGAAGGAATTTATTAGGTAGCAGTTACTATAGTCTATATTGAGAATTATATTAATATTTGTATAGGTATATTCAAATTATCAGGATAAGAATTGGACATAATTTCATTACAAATTCTTATTTTTTTCTTATTAGCAAAGAAATTAACTAATATATTTTCGCAATACTTGTCAAGCTTGCATCACAAGTAAACATATCTTTAAGGAATACCCAAGATACGAATCAGAAAGCATAACTGTTAATCTCAGTCCCATAATATTACAACAATCATTACCTTTATTTTTAACTGACAACTGTAATTTACTTAACAAACATTACTAATGTCGAATATTAGCAAATCAAAGATTGTAAATATTCCCTGTCATCATATAAATAATGTTTTATACACATCCGATTCGAGTCTAATCCAAGCCTTCCGCGGAGCTCTCCAAAATCAAAAAAAAAAAATATTATTAGTGACTTATTTTGTTTTCAAGATCGGTGATTAAATACGGAACGGTGTCGAATCAGACAAGTGGGAATAGACCTCCACAAATGAGTACTTAAATTGAATATCCTAATTGTGTTTGTTTGACTTCTATTACCTATAACAAAATCATAAATTTGTATTACTATCTATATCCACACTTTTGATAAATGTCTATATTTAATTACAATATGACACTGGCAAATCAATTTCGATAAGAAATCGATAGTTGCAATTTGAATAATAATTGATGATGTTAATGATGGAGGAGGAAGGGCTTGAGGGTATCCCGCAAAGGTTTTTAATATCTGTCTTAGCTCCTCTGGCCATTACCATTATAAAGTGCCTAATCCAAATCACGCCGTTTCAGTTTCGATGAATATACCTAATAATATATTATTTTAAGCTAATTATTGTGATTCACGAATATTTGAGCAGTCATTACATTAGTTGTAATTTCAATTAATTTAATAATTTAATAACTTAATAATTTCTGTTTACAATTCTTTTAAAATATTCAAGAGCAAACGCCTAATTTATTTGTACTATTTTAGGGTAAATTATTTAGTTTATAAAATGTTGTAATAGTTGTCTGGTTGGAATTAATAATAGAGAGCGAAACGAACTGCTCTTGTACGTATAGAAGTAATGAGCATTAGCTCAGCCCCCTTCCTCTCCCAGTAATTTCACTAAATTTCAGGTTATGCAACTTTACGATGTGTTACTGCTTGAAAATAGGGGAAAACTTTTAAACAAAAAACATACTCGTATATGTCACAAAGTCCTATGAATTTACCTGGAATGTAAAAAGTTGGAAAAATCTGGAACAGAGAATTTATGAGAATGAAGTCCTCGGAAAATACTCAGAACGGGCCAGGACAGGACATATTATGTGAAAATATCTTTTATTTAGGTATTTAATCTACTAAATTAAACGTCACATATTTGTATTTTATAATATTATTCTAAATTAATAACAGATAATGAACATAATATATGTTATTAGATTCTAACATTGTAACGGTTAAATTACATTTTAATATAATGTTTTATCCTTTTAATAATCATTTACAATAAATATCAGTACTAAACTCCCTTAAGATATAGTTATGTTTATTTTTAGTTTTTGCATTTTGCATTTTGTGCCAAAATAACACGTGACCGTGTCCCAATAAATCGGAATGTATTGTATTCAACAGCATATATTATATTGTCTGATGATATTTCAAACAGACTAAAATCTATTTATTGTTATGTGTTGCGAGTAGTGCGTACAATGTATATACGACATACGTGTATATTATAAAATGTTAAAATGTCATCAAAATATGAAATCAAAAAAAAAATTCATTTTTTTAGTTTCAGCTATGATAAAAATTCGGTTGGACTAAAAAAAAAAATACGATTCACTGTTCGTATGGACCATTTTGATTTTTTTAACGACCTTGGTAACAACATGTCCAAGCATAAAACAAGAATTTAATAATATTATTACATATATTATGTCATACATAAAAACAACACTACGGTCTTGTTGACCGAGCATGCATACCAAATACATACAATATATTATATTATATTATATTATCATTTTAACGTTATCCACTATGTTAGAGAAGGTGATGCTGGCGAAAGGTACACGTAATTTGTTTAGCGGAGGGGAGGAGGAGAAGTGCAATATAATACATAAGTAGAGGTGCAATAGCAGTTTGATATGCAGAATAAAGCAATGGCGCTAGTAGTAGTAGTGGTATATATTGTTGCAAAAGACTTAGAGAGAAAATAATCGGACTCGCTGTGGCGCGCTCGCAGTCAAAGCGATCAACAACGGCACTGCCAACGATCAATAACTCGACGACTGTGGATCTCGACGGTTTGGCTCATAATTGTTTGGGTTTTTTGTGCATTTACACTACAAGATGAACGCCACGAATATGGTATTCGCGGTGATCATCGTGACTTTGTCGCTGACCGGGTCAGGCCATGGTATGGCATACACTGTGTTCCAGGCGGTGGTCGAGTACTACCGGATGCTGGGACCGGTACCAAAGGATGCCGTGCCGGACGCGGGTTACGTGAGGCGGCAGTATGACTTCGTGGTGGTGGGCGCCGGTTCCGGTGGCTCGGTTGTGGCCAACCGGCTGACTGAAGTGGCTGGCTGGACAGTGCTGCTGATCGAGGCCGGTGGCGAAGAAAACGCCATGACAGACGTGCCATTGCTGGTCAGCTACCTGATTGGCACCGGATTTGACTGGGGATACCGAACCGAACAGCAGGAGGGTATATGCGGGGCGATGACCGACCGGAGATGCATGTGGCCTAGGGGAAAAGTGATGGGTGGTACTAGCGTTATCAACTACATGGTGTACACGCGTGGCGTGCCGGACGACTACGACAACTGGGCCAGGTTGGGAAACGACGGATGGAGTTACGCGGATGTGCTTCCGTACTTCAAGAAATCTGAGAACGTAAGGCAAAGCCCTCTAACGGAGTCACCTTACCATGCTCGTGGCGGGTATCTCAAGGTGGAGGAGCCTACGTGGAAGACCAAACTAGGTCCAGTGTTCCTGCGTGCCGGCCGCGAGTTGGGCTACGAAGTGCCCGCTGACCACAATGGGCCACGGCCGTTAGGCTTCTCGTACGTGCTGGCCACGACGGACCACGGGACCCGGTGCAGCGCGTCCAAAGCGTTCCTACGGCCAGTCCGGAACAGGCCAAACTTGACAGTCACCAAAAATTCGCTGGTTACCAAGGTACTCTTGGACCCACACACCAAACGTGCCACCGGCGTCAAGTTCGTAAAAAACGGACAAACTATGGTGGTGCACGCCCGCAAGGAGGTAATACTGAGTGCCGGTGCACTCAACACACCGCAAATACTGATGTTGTCGGGTATTGGGCCGGCCGATCATCTAGCCGAGGTCGGCGTGCCCGTCGTCAAGGACCTTAAGGTGGGCTACAACCTGCAGGATCACGTGTCTATGGCCGGGTTGGTGTTCCTGGTCAACCAGTCGGTGACCATTATCGAGAGCCGGTACCGAAATCCCAAGTACCTAGTCCAGTATGCAGTCAGCGGTCAGGGTCCGTTTACCATACCGGGGGGCGCAGAGGCGCTGGCGTTCACGGCCACGCGGTACGCAACCAATGGGTCCGTGGCTCCCGACATGGAACTGGTGTTCGGTCCAGGAGCCTTGACTGGTGACACGGGTGGGTCATTACGCCGGTTGCTCGGCATGAACGACACTTTCTACGATCAGGTATACGGCAAATTCCGAGAACATGACGCTTGGGGTTTGGTGCCGATCCTGCTCCGGCCCCTGAGTCGCGGACGAGTCAAGCTGAGGTCCTCCAATCCTTTCCACGCACCCCTGTTCTACGCTGGCTACCTGACGGACAAGCGGGACAGAGAAACTCTTATCGAAGGCATAAAACAGGTAATTATTGTTATTACCACCTATTATTATTGTGGTGAGTAAATTTATTATGACCATTATAATAAATTAATTGAAACAAAATTAATAACGGAAGAGAATAATAATAATAATACATGTACCTAAGTAGATGCATAATACAACGAAAATCCGACAAAACTACATTGCGATAGTTCGTACCCAATGATTTGACCAAGTTGTGAACAACTTTTTGGAAATGTTAACACCTTTATGTTATAGGCTTTTTAAATTAGTAAATGGTTGGCGATAAGATGGCGATAAATATGTTTCTTTTAACTATACTGTCTATAATATCTACTTTTCTAAACGTAAATATTATTAAATATCATCTGATTCAAATCATTATGTTTATAAATGGTTTACTTCGGATGTACCAGTGAAAGGAAAGTATGCATCTTGTTGTGCATGTGACTGCCAACGGGTAGCTATTTGTTTATTTGTCAATGGTCATAGTTTATTACGAATGTAAATAAATTGATATTATTATTTGCATATCAGAAAAATTTATTTGTATCATAATATTATGTGTGCTTTAATCAAACCAGCTAACCTAAGGCGAAAAACAAGTTTATAGTCTTTAGAATCTCTGTCGTAACAAAAATGTATGTGAAACGTTCTAATTGAGTATCAAAAAATGATTATCTTGTACTCGTATATCTTAAATGCTGAATATTATAGTAAAATAAATTTTTTATGCTTTAGTTTTTGGTCGTATATACCACCAAATATAAATATTTATATTGTATATTTGTATAATAATACTGGCGGGGAGTCGTTCTATCAAACAATTTGAGTTGCATATAATACTCGCTATTCGAGTATAGGTCTATTGAATACTTTGTATAAAATAATTTCGACAATCAAGGTCCATAATACGCTCTTAAATTAAATATAATATAGTATGTTTAGGTAATATTTGAAGATTTCGACACTTGTTTTATCACCAATAAGTATTAAATATGTAAAATGTCTACTTATGTCACTAAACATGTAATAAGACAGCGATTCTGATTTTTGATACCAATATATAATTATACTCTGTACGATAAAGTTTTTTTTCACTTCCAAGAGCATAATTTTAATTTTAATTTTTTATTTTCATAATTTTTTATGAACAAATAATATATTTACCAGAAAATGTAATTTTCCAAGCTTGGATTGTCAGGTCTAGACAGTCGCGTTGTTTGGTAGGCTATTGGACGTCTAAATTAGCTTGTGTTCGATAACGAGTAACTACATAATATAATTTCATGCTTTATTTTTCGTTTGGCCAAACATTTTTTTTCGGAATTCGCGACATCAAATGCAGGAACGAAGCGAGTGCACTGACATCGGTTTGCGAAAGTACCACGTAAGTACTATATGTGGATATGATGTACATGATAAGACATTTTTTATTCACCTCACTGCATGGAGTCGCGTCTGTGGCGTAGTATTATTGTAGTGTTATGCATTTGCGGCCGTTTTCTCTATTTTAAAAACATGCGTACCCATACTTCAAGTCATCCGCCCGACAATCGCAATCGAGCAAGCCACCAGTGCACTGCAATAACAACAACAAAAACAGCAGCAACAATAACTCGTTCTCCGCGGGTAATAAATAATAATAATAATATAATGTTTACACCGCGTGGCCGTTACGAAACGTCTTCCCGTCGCGGTAACCAGTTATTATGTATTACCAAAATTATTATTATTAACCGGGCCGTCGACGATCTGCCGCAGTGTTATTATTATATTTAATTTGTTTGAGATTTGGTATCACTAATCGAGACAGGATAACGCAAATAATACACGATATACCGCGATATTATTTATTTATTATCCAGTCCTTTACACTGGTACGCGGCGCTTCTGGTCGGACCTTGACGCGCCCACAGCCGACTTGGAGAACTCTCGCGAAACCCACGCGACCCAATGGCCTTGTACCAGTTTTGCTCATCTGGTCAACGAGAAGATCGTCGTAGAAATAAGTAGCTGCCGCAGAAACATTGATCGGCCGGGCACAGTGGTTTATGCCGTCCGCGTTTTTCTACTTTTCATTGTGAGACTTTTCTTAAATATTTCTTATAGTCTATGTTACATCTGTCACCCCCGGAAGGGTTTCACTCTGTTACATTCACCTAATTTTCCGAGATCAAATTTTTTTTGTTTTAAGATAATATAATATTATAGGTTTGATTGCGATCAAATTATATTCGTCCAAATAGTCAGAAGTCGTCTATACAAGCATAACGGTTAGGTACCTCTGTTTAAACACCGAGCTATATTTTAATAATTGACAACCTAACGTTGAACCCTATTGTTAATTTAATACGATTTTAGTTCAATAACATCGATGTATAATATTTTTGATACATCCCTAACCAATTTTAGAAAAGTTATCTATTTTAGGTTATGAAATTAAAAATATAGATGTAGCTAGGTTGCGTTTCGAAAATAAACAGTTGATAGACGGATTAATATAATACCAATCAAGCACAAAAATGAAAGATAAGGAAATATTAAACATTGGAATTACATGTAAGTAATAATAATACTTATATAAATTAATTCAAAATGAAAATGTTGAAAACAATTAATACTTTTTAAAATAGTTAAGATTCGTTCTGTTCAAATTATTATTCTGTGAATAAACACACGCATTGTACCATAAAATATATTTGATGACGTAACTAAAAATGTATAAAAGCTCATAGTTTCAAGACCAATAAAATCGATATGAACTTTAATCTAATCTAACCTTTACTACGTATTGTGGGATTCCCACGCAATGAAGAGTTGTGTACCCCACGGCAGGTATAGATTTAATTACTATTATTAGTAGGTATATCGATCGCCGAAACGTTTCGAAATTGTTTAATATTTTATACATATCAACAAGATGAGGTTGAAATACGATGTCTCAGGTGATATTGATGTGGATCTATCATAATCATAATATCATTGACGATCGATGAACGATGAACTAATATTATCAGTGTCAGTTTTAAACAAAAAATAACGTTAAACACGTTTTTATCGTTTTAATTGTACTACTAATAATTTAATTACTATTAAACACTATATTATTATGCGCATAATGAACATCCTGTGCATTTACAAATTACTTGTTCAAACAAAACTCTGCTAATTACAATCAAAACGCAATATTTTAGCTAGATATTCGTTTGTTCGGTAATCATTCGTTTACCTTTAATTCGTTGATTGTTATTATTCGATTCTAAAATTTACATTTCTATAAAATATTTTAGTAATATATTCTATTCGTTACATAATATTTTTTATATGTTTGAAAACATTAGCGATAACATCTGTAGCTTTTAAGACACTTTTATTTTGGTAATATTTATAATTCAAAATTAAAATGTATATATTTTTATTTATTTAATTATAAAAACATTTTTGTGGATTGCGATTTTAATCTTTTCGCATTGCATCGCTTTTACTTTATATCAGTGTAACACATTTATTATGGCGCGTGTCCAGTAATATTATACATAAGTACATCATAACCATAATTTACAGTTTCAGCCTATCGTAAAAAGTTAATGGGTACATATTTTAATACTAGTAATTTATTATAGAACTAGGAGGAAGTTACTTAGGTAGTTACATAAATACATAATGACATGTATTACAACGCTTGAACAACATTTGTACTTATAAAATAGCAAATAAGCGTTGTGTTAATACAATATAAAATAGACATCAACAAATTAAAAATATTGAACTATTTATAACATTTTAAATTAATAGCTATACATATTATTAGTTCTAATAGTACCAATGAATATTATTTATCATGTTTATTTGCTATTTATTTTTAAATTATGTTTCAGTACATTATATATTTATATTTGAGTGATACATTTTTTTATTTGATAGTTCAATGCAATAATACAATCATAGAAATATATAATTCAACCTTGTTCCATAAATATTATGTATTTGATGACGGACAAAATAAAGAAATACGCCAAGCTAACTTGCAAAATAAAAAACATTTAAAATTTATTTTTTTCTAAAGTGATAGCTATAACTTGACCTATATACTATTTTTGATTATATCAATTCACAAATAACTATTAAACGAGTTTAATTTATCCATATATTTTTTACAAAATGTGTATATATTTTTAAGTCATAAGTTAAATAGATACGTATAGTTATGTACTTCGTAGGCATAACAAAATTGTAAGTAAACATTATTTCAGTGGGTCTAGTTTGGATTAATAATAATCCAATAATGACTATAATGAGTATAGTTATTTAAAATTTAGGATGTTGGGCGTAGTAATAGCCATTGCCCAGTATAGGTAAACATGTGTAATAACTAATAAGTACTAATAACACCCCTAGGATCTATAGGTAGATACATAACATATTATTATGGTATGGTCACTCCATGATTGAAAATAAATAGGTTTATACTGTGAGAATGTATCACATCGGTGTAAGTTCCACATATATTTTTCTATTTTTAGACGTATATAATATTAAATATGCGTACTACCAAAAAAAAAAAATAGTTATGCATGTATTATCAATTGACACTTTTTAAGGTTAAAGTGTAGCACTGAATTAAATATAGTTTTTGTTTGGTTATACTTGGCCGTACCAAAAGTTCCACACAAGATTATTTAAATTAAGTGGTTTTAAATAATATCACGTACCTTTTTAGGTGTAAAAAGAATATACTAGATGTACAGATATAGGATTACAAAGCATTAACTTCAGCTGTAGAGTTTTCAACTTTATGAATAAAATACTTTATAATTATATACTTTATATTAAACTCCAACGGTGCTGAATTAAAAAAAAAAATCGATGTTGATTCAGTAACAAATATGTGTTCAAATATACAATTATATCGAGTTAATGAGTAAAAAAAAATTTTAAAGTCACTCATTTGAGTTTGTAAATCGGTCCAACTCTGCTTCAGTCTTAATTACTATTGTCACAATATTGTCATAGATGATATATACATGGGATGGACATCCCAATACCTAATTTTTACGTTTTACTGTTATCGAAGAATCTACTAGTTACGATAATGGTTATAATTATGCGGTTATTGTGAGTTCCTACGGTTTATGATACAGAAAAACATTTCATCAATCTGAATACATCAAAGTTCAAATTCACTACATTTCATTATTAATGTTTTTTTTATTGTCATTGTAATAATTAATAACCATAATAATATTAGCTATAAAGCAGTGTTTAAAAGTTATTATGTAGTAATATTATTTGTGGTAAAATACCACAGCCTCAGTTCCATGTAACTACTTTGCCACTTTGGGAACTAGTGACTAGTATACTCTTCGGTCACGCTTGAATACAATATAACATGTCCTTTTCATGTGTATAATAATTAATATCATCTATAATAATATTAATATTATCTATAATGATTGTTCAGCAGCCTCGACGAATACGCATTATTTGTTAAGATTATATACTAGGTATCTACTTGGTATCAAAAATGATTTAATCGAATCATTAACTCTTTTCACAGGCCATCGCAGTGAGTGAGACTCCGGCATTCCAAAAGTACGGATCCAGACTGTTGCCGATTCCATTCCCCGGCTGCGAACACGAGCAGTTTATGTCGGACGCATATTGGATGTGCGCCACCGGGCTGGTGTCCACCAACCTGCACCACCAGTCGGGCACCTGCAAAATGGGACCCGACACGGACCCGGACGCCGTTGTGGACACGAAGCTCAGAGTGCGAGGCGTCAAAGGCCTCCGGGTGGTTGACACTTCTATCATGCCCGTCATACCAGCTGGGCACACCAACGCGATGGCTTTCATGATCGGTGAGAAAGCGTCCGACATGATCAAGGAAAACTGGCTCAAATGACAATGGAAACATAATATATAATTCAATATTATGATAACGATATAACTGCAACACGTCTACATAGCACCTGCATCATATAATAATAATTTATGCAGTAGTCCGACCCGGAGTCGGAGTACCTATAAGCACATTATTATTGGATTGCGGTGACCCATCGTCATTACAGGTCGTCGAGAGCGAGAAATTTCATATTTTTAGACCTGCAGAGTTCGGTTTGTAAGCAACGAGGAAGCGATTTAAAATCATGACCGCGCTCGCAAACATCTTACATGGGAAACTTATGAAGTTAAATGGTGTATACAAAACAAAGATTCTAAGAATGATTGAAAAAACTATTGTTTTTACTTTCTAATCTAATATACCTAATTTCTCTATAATATATTATGATCTCACCCTATCAATATTTGTATTATTATTATTATTATTATTATTATTATTATTTTTATTATTATTGTGTCTCAATCAATATATGTATACTGTTTGAATTGCTTAAATTAACAATTCAATTAAAGAAACTCCGAATTTACAATGTATTCGTAAGAAGTCATCAAATTGTTCATGTTGTATCACACATGTGAAATTGTACGTTAACAATTTAATATGTTTAAAATTTTAAATATAATAGTCTTCGTATGATTTCGATACGAATATTTTACATATTTAAATCGTATAACGCAATTTCACAGAAATTGTTATTGTAGGTTTTAAAATTTTATTATTATAATAAAACTCTACTTCAACCAAACTATTGATTTAATTATTTAAGCCATTAAGCCAGCCAGTTAGGTATTGGAATATTTAGTTATAGTAAAACATCTAAATGTATTATGTTTTTACTATTATAAACTGTTTTTGTTGATGTGTTCATTAATATAACTTTTAACTAATTATAAAATAAATAACTCAAATAATAATTAATTCGAAATTTGTATCGTGATTTATTTATGTATGCGAATCTATAAATTAATTAATTTAACAAATACAAAGGTAAAATCATTTTTTTGTGAACCGTGATTTTAATAAATTGATAGGTACTTTCTAAAAAGTTTTGACTGACTAACTAACTTGGAAACGATAAAATACTCGTATGCTACTTTTTCTAGATTCCAATTCCTCTAAAATTATATTGGTACATAATAATATAATATACACATAAGTAAGCAATATAATGTCACTATGACAATATATAATACTCGTATATTGATCATCGATATGGAAATATTATAGCTCAGGAGTTCCGAACTTTTTTATTCCAGGGCCACATAAAGTATCAAAAGTTTTCTAAAAGTGTATAAACACATCATATAATTTTTAATTTTATAGAAATATATATTTATAAATGTTTTAAAAAATAGTTCTTATAATATACTTAGTTATAGCTATGATAAAAGTGATGATTGACACGTGAGTGCGATAACAATTTTGGATATTACACACATTTTTTAATAATTTTTTTTTTTTTTGGGGGGGGAGTGATAACACATTCACGGGTCGTAGTTTGGAGACCCATGTTATAGCCTAAATGCCTAATGAACATTCGGGCTCTCTCAAAACACTGTAAGTACATTTTATCGAAAAGTTGTTTTAATATGTGATGTACAACTTATATTCTTTTCTTAATTTTTTTTTTTTAAAGAAACGCAACCATTGGCTTGTTTTTTACATGATAATATGTTCTTAAACAATTTAAATTAAATTGTACAATTGAATGTTTTTCATAAATAAAATTATATTTTTGATGGATCCTTCGTCGCGGCCCATGATATCATGATACCTAGACGTCGTGATATATACTTTTCTATACATCCTATTGTTTGATTTGTTGGTGCTCAAATTATGTAAGTACTCTATTATGGCCCAGGTAATCAACTAGCAAATGATGATCTGAAAGCTAAATAGTATGTCTTTTAAACTGAGTGCAAATCCCAATATTAAATGTAATATGATATGCAAATGCGTGAATCCGCAAATCCACATTACTTGTGGTGACTGGAAACGGTAGCAAAACTTTACAAAAGTGACTAAAAATTAGGTACCCCGCTCTGGTGCTTGGCTTGTAACGACCTTGCATACCTAAATATTGGACACTGTTGTTTTTGTTAGACACTTGTTTAAACATGGAGCATGATATTTATGAATAAATATAGTGGTCACCGTATAATTTGAAATGATTTCATTAATCAAGAATGATTTTTTTGTTTTAATAGATACAAATATGTATAAGTATGTAAATTATTTTTCTTTGCATTCTATATTTATATATTTACTTACTATAATGTCATATTTAAGTATGGACTTACTGCATAACTTAATATAAATTATTTCCAGTTATTTGAGATTTGAGATGAAAACCATAAAATTCAATAAGTGCATTCAACAAAATATTTGTAATCTCATAATATTTTAAGTAAATAGGAAAAAAAATATAGTTTAGAGTTTACATTTTCTTGATAAATAATCCCAAATGTTGAGGGTCACATAAAAAAACAATAACTTTATAAGTCATGTATATAAATGTATTATATAGCCTTTAAATAAAATGATTTGTATCAATAATATACTATAGGTATCTAATAATTGGCATTTGTCAAAACCTTTTAAAATTTAAGTTCATAATTATTCCAATGCTTAAAATAGTTTACCATTATGGTTTGTGTTTATTTTAGATATTACGTGTCCATCCAAACGTTACATTCTTTGCCCAACTCAATCTACACAAGTCATCAGTAGACTGTTATAGAACGAATTTATGCTATTCGGATTATAGTGACCCATATAATATTTCACAAGACTTGCAGGACCGGATTTTAGAGGTGCTCGTTGGTACAGGGTCTTTACAAAATATTAAAATACTTCAGCCACTGATGAAGTATTTTTTTACTTTGCCTTTCAGAAAATAGGAATATTTAAATAATTTAAAGAAGTTAGTATGTACAAATTACAAAGTTTTTTTACATAGTATACGGGTTTTCCGTCACAGCCTCCACAAAAAAAAAAGATTTTTAAAAAAAGAGCCACGAGAAAGTGTGCACTATACTATTATCTACGTATTGTTAAACCGAAGAATGTATTTCTTCTTATTACAAATCGGGCTTTGTATAGTAAAAAGACCATACGAAACATGTAGGAGAGCTTATACAGTAAATGTAAGTAAAACAATGAATTTAATACGCCAAGAATAAAATTCCACGATAATTATAATAATGATAGGTATTACTGTATAAGACATAATAATATAATTGTACATCGAGGAATAACTTAAGTAATTAATTATTTGACTCCATTCAAAATATATGAGTAAGAACTTTTAAACTTAAGAAAGTTAAGAAATAATTTTAATTTAAGTGGCATTCAGAGGAAAACGGTTATACGAGTTTAAAGTTAATTTTTTTTTTAATAAAAAAATATGGCATTCTTAGCCATATAGACTACATCTATGAATAAATACAGAATAGATAACTTTATGACTATTTTAGCATGATAATAGTTAGTAGTTAAAAATAATTAACGACCTAACAATAGTAATACCGTCTAGTACCTAAGGTAAGTAATATATAGTATAGTATAATAAAGTTGATTAGACATTATAAATAATTTATAATACTATAATAGTGTAGAGAAGAATAATTTAATTAAGACATAATATGTATACATAATTATAAAGATTAACTTATAAAATGGTAATTGACTAATAAGATCGTGTGACCGACCGCTTCTAAGACGTCTATTTGAGGCTATGGAAGTATAAGTAAAAAAAAATTTATTACTATAGCCTAAGACTTCTCGTTCATATTTTTTCTTCTCCAGTCACACTTAACTATACAGCAAGTCAGCCACCTTTGTCTCATAACCATATAGGGCGATATTGCTTTATTTCGTTAAATTTCGTTTAAATTTAATGTTTAAAGGGGTAAATTCGAGTAGGTACATCGTATTTAAAGGTAACTGAAAGCAATGATCAATATTTGAAACATAAATACATAATATTATTATAATAATTTTTAATATAACTCGTAACAATTTTGTGAGGGTGTTAGCACTAACCTGGTGCGTATTGCAAATGTTTATAGGTACTAGTATATTGTTTTTTTTTACATCATTGGATTAACAAATAGATAATAACAAGTGGGTTAGGTTAGGTGCCACTCTTTACACGGGTTTGTTATTATATAATTATTGGCGTTGTATAGTACTCTTCAAGTCTTGACTATTGGCCAATATTAAGACCGCATAAGACAAACGATACCGATATTTTGTAAGATGCAATAAAATGTATACAAATTGTGTTATTAATTACAGAAGTGTTCTATTAGATCAAAACTTGATTCCTTGTAAACGTTTTATTTATGATTTCAGGTTATAGTAGGTAGGTATATAATATAATTTGTCAATTGCTGTATTCGTGTTATAAGTGCGTATTATATTGAAAGCATGGTGGGAAACTAGATTTAAGTTATTAAAACCATTAGACAACAGTTTTTATGATAAATAATACTATCTCTAATAATGATTATAATAATAAATGTAAGTACATTTTTAATCACCCATGAATTGTTTTAAACTTAAAATTTGTATAATAATTGATAACTATAACAATATGAGTCTCAACTAACACCTATGAATTAATATCAAGTTTCTTAATGATGTTTGTATTTGTTATTAATTATCAAGTGTATGATGTAAACTCATGTTTTATACAGTTCTTAGATTTGCATTTATCACGCTAGATAAAACCTAAACAATGTAAATAAATTAATATCATTAATTTATGTGCGCACTAAATTTAGCAGTAAAACTATGCTGGTAGAATTTATTTATCACTAGAAAAATACTTTCATTAATAAATAATAAAATATAATAATCTATATAGTACAATTATATGAATTATGAATTATGAATTTATTTATATATACAAGTGTATACAATGTGCATTGATTAATAGAACTTTAAAAGTAAATGGTCTTAAAGCACATTTTGTTTCTCATTTAAAATCAGATAAATATTATTTTATAGGGATGACAAATAGTACATATTTGACAATTCGACAAGTTTTAATAAAAAAAAAAATTTAGAAGTTTATTTAAAAATCAAATTGATTTATTAAATAATATGTTTAAGTATACTGAAATACTGAATGTATTCTATAACCGATTCATAGGACAGTAATGTAGCATTATGTTATTATTTAGAAAACAAAATGATTATCTTATATAGGTATAGCATAAACCCAGTAAAATAAGCTATTAAT